TTTTTTCTTGGTAGTACTGTGGTTTTGAACTCAGGGCCTCATGATTGCTAGCAGGCGCTCTACTGTACAATATTTGAAGAAGTACTAACACTATTCTGACACTGGTTCCCAGAAAAACACACGCACTCCCCTCCGATTATACATGCATTGTGGAAAATTTGAAAAACAAAATTATAAATGATTTTCAACATCTTGGACTATTTCCTACCAGGCTTTTAAAATCCTACTTTTTTTCCCTCTTCATATAATATTCTACTACCTTTTGCTGTTAAAGTAACTTTGTTTCCATTTACTAAACAATAACGTTTTCATTAGAGAATATGCTGAAAAGGAACAAGAAAATTAAAATATTTCCAATTACCATCCAGAGGCAATGTTATCTTTTCAATCTGTTTTCTAGGAGTATATATATATATATATATATATATATACATATTTAAGACATGCATTTTCTAAGAATATTTATATCTATATTTAAGAAACTGATATTCCTTCATTTGAGTGCAGCAGCATTACTGATGTATTTTTTTTGGTGGTGGCACTGGGGTTTGCACTCTGGGCCTTATGCTTGCTAGGCAGGCACTCTACCAGCCTTTTTTTTTTTTTGAGTTAAGGTCCTCCTTGCCTCAGTCTCTTGAATGGCTGGGATTACAGGCATCATACTCCACCAATTAGCATTTTATGTTGGACATTAATGCTATTTCAAGTTAATCATTGTGATAAATATCTTGCATGTGGTATTTTATGTTGTTTCTTTAAAAATTATGGATTTTCTACAATTTCATCCACTCAACTAGGAAGTTCCAGTGAAGGGGCAGGGGGAAAAGTAATGCATTTGTTCTCCAAATAGAGAACAGCCTTTACATAGAGGGATGGGGTGATCAAACCACTCTAAAAATGCCTACACACATATGTTAAAATACAATTTAAATTTCATTCAATAAAGGAGCAACTGACTCTTTGAATTTCTGGAAGATAACATCAGGGCTGAATTTTCCATGATTCTAAGCAACAATTTCAAATACTTTCTCTATGCTAAATTTCCCTTAGTGTGGCCAAACACCTTCCACCGATTAAAAAAAAAAAACTCGACAGATAAAGGTGTGCTACTTTTGAAGCAACATCAAAAGATATAAAATATTAAGTTGAGCTGGTGACAAAGGCATAGACAACACTATACATTTAAAGGAAACAACACAAAGGCTGGGGTTGTAGCTCAGTGAAAGCATTTGCCTAAAGGGACAAGACACAGTCAGTTCAATCCTCAGTGATCAATGCTGACACTATCTTCCAGAACATGCCAAGAATACTTCAGTCCTGGTAAGAGAACCTAGAAGGCAGAAGGATGTTGCTCAGCCACTTATGCTATGGTTGTTTCTTCTCAGAACTCAGGCCTGATGCAGGTGCCTTTTATTTTCCTGCAACCCTCTAAGTACAAATGATGAATCAAAAGGGAAACCTACAAAGGAAAAAAAAAAATCAGTCGGCTGTCCCTCTGGGTCCTATCTTAAAGAGTACTGTCAGGCCAGCTTCGGTGGCACAGTAAGCATTAATAGAAGCATGATGGTCCAGGCTGGCCCAGTGCATGAATGAGATCCTATCCCCAAAACAACTAGAGCAAAATAGCTAGGCTGGGGGAGTGGCTTAAATGGCAGAGCATGTGCCCAGCAAAAGCAAGGCCCTGAGTTCAAACCCCATCAATTAAAAAAAAGAAGAAGAAAAGGGAAAAGAACTGTCAGCATGCCCTGGATTTGGTCATTTCCTTTGCATATCACTGTAATTTACCATCTCATTTGGTAATGATTTTATACAGTAGAAAGGGCAGGTGTTATCCTCATTTTGTAAACTAAAAAACTCAAGGTCAGAAATTACACTATTTGTTCCTAGTTACATAGCTAGCAAGCAGTGGAGCAAGACCACAAACGCAGGACTTCTGACCTAACAATGGTCGTTCCAGGAGGCCACTTCATGCTCACCTGGAAAATGCTTTGACGGAGGGACATTTTCCACATCCTTCCAGAGGGATGGAGGCACTGCTTCCTGAGCCCTGACGAGCACTGGAGTAAGGTACTGAAAGGACACAGATTCACATCTATCTTAGACTCTGACTGAGCCAGGTCATGCTGTAGCAAAACTGTTCCATTGTAAGAGTGAGGCTTGGCTCGGCATGGTGGTGCTGCCTGTAATTCTAGCATTCTGTGGGCTGAGGCATAAGGATAGCAGGTTCAAGACCAGCCTGGGTTACATAACAAGGCTCGTCTCAAAAAAAAAAAAAAAAAAGGATTTCATAAATGAGGAAACAGGCAAGGGCAAAGTGACTTCCTGGACAAAGGGAACACTCAAAATCTGAGTGGATTTTGTTATTCCTTCATTTCCCAGCAGCAACACAGTGAGGTGATGGCATAGTCACAGCACCTGGTCTTTGGGTCAATCTTTCTAATAGGCCTCACCTTCAATTTGGCTAGGAACGACCTCCTTTCTTTCTCACAGGCTGCATGCTCTCCTGCTTTGTGCTGAGGCTAGAAGAGCCTCGTCAGGAGGAAGTGGCAGTGGGGTTGACAGCAAACACTGGAAATAGCCTGAACTGTTACTTCCTTAGAAGGCTGAGCTCCACATACTCCACTGCAGAACCATCAGAACCTCACCAGCACAGCACCATCCCTTCCATGCTCACATCTCCTGTTGGTCCCCTGTTATTAGCACAGCCAACACACTATCTTCCTTACTGGTGACTGCAGGAAGTGACCCCACCAAATGACAAATAAGACCAAGAGCAAACTAATAAGCAATAGAATCCAGTTCCCTTCCCAATATCTAATTCATTTAAAGCAAGTGTAAAAGAGGATCAGAACAAAGTGACAGAGTAAGACAGAACTCAGGGACCTGGATCAGGCCAGGGTTGTATGCTGTGACTTCAACAGGGGCACCACTAACCTGCCAAAGCATGGTCACTAGTAAGGAAAGTCCCCAAAGCAGCCCCACGTCACAGCCTCAGAGGCATGTCACAGCTAAAGTCTCCTGTGCTGAACCCAGGAGGACCCCTCTCTATCAGGGAATGTCATGTGCTCAACTCAAGATGGCAAACACCACATGAAGTCAAGCACAGTGATGTGCACCCGTAGTCCCAGCTACTCAGGTTGCCAAGGCAGGGGATGGGTTTGAGGCCAGGAGTTTGAGACCAGCATGGGCAATGTAAGGAGACCTTATCTCTTAAAAACAAATACTGCAGGCTGTTGGAAAACAGTCTGTGGTGTGAGTGACCCCCAGTGACCATGGGCTACAGGGCTTGATTTAGTCAATCTGGGCACACAGCTACACTGGAGTCATACATCCTCTGCTCAGAACTCAAAGCTGTAGCATCCCTTTCTGTACCCACAGCAACCACCAGCACTGCTTTCTTAGATGACAAATACAGATTAAGGGTCACATAAATTATTCCAGTGGGAGGCAGCATGGATGGCAGAATTCCTCCCTCCCACCAGAGACCCAAGGCTGCCTCCTGGCTAATGCAACTCCCAGCAAGGCAGGGTGGCCAGGGAAAATGCCTGGGATTAGAAAACAGGTACTGCTCTACTCTGCCTCTGACCAGCGTCAAACAAGAGAAGAAATCTCCCTGTCTAAACTCAGACTCCTTACTTATAAAACAGTGCGGTTCACATACATCACCACAGCCCTCAACTTCAGACCTTCAGTGCTTTATGGAGTCTATGAAATCAGCTAAATAGCTCCTTTGGCTAGAAGTGTAAAGAATGGAGTTGTCCAACTCTTAAAACATTTTTTGGGGGTGGGTGCTGCTGGAGGTGGAACCATTCCACTGAACTACACCCCCAACCCAACATTCAGAAAAACTTAAAGTTAAAAATGAAAGTAAAGAAATGAAAGCAGAAGAGACACTTCAACTTGAAACTCTCTTTGGTCTTCAGAATAGCAAAGCAATGAGTTCAGACAGTTTGGGAGGAATAGAAAAGTACAAACTGCAAAACAGGAAATCCAGTGTTGGCTGGCTCTCAAGAAACCATGAGCTGGTGAAAATTAAACCTACTTAATTTTTAGTTTCTTAAAACAAATACAGTGTGCATGATGCCCTAGGTTTGATGCCGAGTCCTGCAAACAAACAAAAATAACAGCACAGCAAAAAAACCTCTAACTGAACCCCTCAATTTGTGAATTACTGAGATGCCTGCTAGTAAAACACAGTCACTGTCCCAAGACCAAGGCTTTTTAATCACTCTGGATTTATTTTGTCCTGTGCTGAGAGTATGATGGTTCTACCTCAGTCACATTCACTGCCTTGTCTCTTGGCTGGAAGTTACCCTAAACCTGTTTACCATGGTAATCTCTTTTTTTGGGTGGACTGGGGTTTGAACTCAGGACTTTGCACTTGCAAAGCAGGAACTCTACCACTTGAGCCCCACCTCCAGTCCATTCTGCTCCAGTCATTCTGGTGATGGGGTTTCTCAAAACTATTTGTCCAGGCTGGCCTTGAACTGCAGTCCTCCCAATGTTAGTAGCCTCCATAGTAGCTGGAATTACAACTGTGAGCCACTAGTGTCCAGCTGGTAATCTTTTTTGAGATCAGGTTTCCCTATGTTGTCCAGGCTGGCCTCTAACACCTGGGCTCTAGAGATCCTCCCACCACAGCCTTCTGAATAGCTGGGAATATCGGTGTATGCTACTACACCCTTTTAAACAAAGATCAATTATAGCCCTACGCACATTGACCACCTCTCTCCCAACAGCATATCAGCTCTTGAACTTGCGGAGACCCCAACTTCAACATCTGCGATTCCTCTAGTGTCTTGTGTGCAGCAGGCCCTCCAAGGGTTACTGAATGATTAAGACAAGTACTTACCGATCTCTTCAGGCACCTCAAACTACATGGTAGACCTTATACATCCAACCTAAGTTTAGACAACGATACCATTATTAAAAAGGCATTATCTAGAGAGAGAAGAGCTTAGAAAAAGGAGCTTTATAAACACCGGAGCCAGACTTCCACAGAAAGCAGAAAAATAATTTATTCCAAAAGATGGCAGAAGAAAGTCATCCTGAAAGTACAGCTTGGTGTAAGTTTGCCTGGACGGGGCTTCTCCGTGAGCAAGCTCTCCTCTGCCCCATTGGCGTCCTACTTGTCTTGCAGCAATCTGTAAACACAGCGCTGACTCCATGCAATGAGCTGGCAGGAGCTATCTGCAAATCCGAAGGTTACAGACGAGAGCAACAGAGTTCTCAGAGCAGCACCGTTCTCTCAGAAGAATGAATACACATTTTGTAGAGTTGGTAAAGAAGGCACATCATTCATCAAAGTGTAAAAAAAGGTGAACTTAAAAATACTGCACTGTAGAATTACATCTTCAAATGTGGTGTGAATGTTTAAGGCAGATGATACCCGAAATAGGCAAGTCAAAGAAGGTGGTCTGGGTTTGGAGGCGATTTCGCATCTAGAAGGAATTCTCTTCGTGACCTGCAAAACAAAACCATTCTAGTAACTGGTCCTCAAACTGTCCTTAGGAGAGCCAAGAGTGTCAATAAAGTTGATCAGGGCTGGGCACAGTAGCCCATGCCAGAAATTCCAACTACCACAGGAGGCAGAAATGAGGAGGACTGGTAGCTGGAGGTCAGCCCAGGGAAAAAAGTTAGCAAGATCCTATCTCAAAAGAAAAGCTACCCACCCCCAAACAAAATCAGGAGACCCTATCTCAAAAATCAAGTGAAACAAAAAGGGCTGGGCGTGTGGCTCAAGTGTTAGAGTACTTGTCTACCAACAGGAGACACTATTCAAACCTCAGTACTGTGCCTGCAATCCCAGCACTCTGAAGGCTGAAGTAGGAGTGCAAGTTTGAGACTGACCATAGCAAGACTGTCTCAACAACAACAGGAAATTACCAGGCCAATAACAAGAGGTAGATACTCAATAAATACTTAAACAGAATGGGTTTCAATACACAGCATGCTCTTTGATTTAGTACATTTTTGTTTTTATAGTGAAACTGATGTTTGAACTCAGGGCTTTGTACTTGCAGAGCAGGAGCTCTAATGCTTGAGCCATCTCATCAGCTAATTTTGCTCTGGTTATTTTGGAGATGGGGGTCTCTCAAAGTGTTCTCGAACTATTTGCCTGAGCTGGCCTTGAATTGCAATCCTGCCAATCTCAGCCTCATGAAGTAGCTAGGATTTACAGGCATGAGCCACCAGCTCTGGCTTAATTTAGTCATTTTTTTTCTTTTTTACTTTTTGAAAGGGAGAGATGCTTTGTTATTGTAGCCAAAAATTTGCTTTTTGGCAACTACTAGTTGTGAACACTGGGTTTTGCACTTGCTAAGCAGGTGTTCTACCACTTGAGCCATGCTTCCAGCTCTTTTTGCTCTTGATATTTTGAGTTAGGATTTTACTTTTTACCTAGACAGTAATCCTCCTATTTTAAACTTTTCACCATAGCTGGAATGACAGGTGTGTGCTATCACACCCATTTTTTCCCCTTGAGATGTGGTTTCAAGAACTCCCCTTCCAGCCTATCCTCCCAATCTGTGCCTCTTGAGTAGCTAGGATTATAGGCTGAAGCCACTATGCCTGGCTAAAACAATTCTTAATCATAATTTTTTTTCTTTCTTTTTTGGTGGTACTCAGGGCCTCTCGCTTGCTGGACAGGCGTTAACACTTGAGCCACTCCGCCAGTTCAAAAGGAAGGTTGTGTGTGTGTGTGTGTGTGTGTGTGTGTGTGTGTGTGTGTGTGTGTGTGTGTGTGCGCTCTACCACTTTAGCTACTCAGCCAGCTTAATCATAAAATTTCTGAATACCACAACAAAATACATTCAGTAATTCGAGGCACTCAGTGATAGAGTGCATGCGTGAGGTCCCGAGTTCAGTCTCCAACACTGCAAAAAGAAAATGAAAGAAAAACATAATTCAAGGACTGTTTCTACAATGCATTAGGAAAATAACATCAGGCCAAGTGGTGGTGATTACCAGAGTGATTTGTTTCTTGAGGTCTGAAAGCTTCATAAACCTTTCATTCTGAAGATCATTTTCTGTTCCTCCCCCCAGGCTAGCAGAACAGCTGCTAGCCTCTGTCCTAGGTAGAGTCTAAACTACCTGAGAACATTAAAGCAAGTACATGGATGTTCTGCGTGCTAATCTTCTGCAAAGGACACCGATTATAGACTTTCTCATCATTTGGGACTTTTTCTTTTTGACAAAGAATCAAAAAGGAGAAAAATAGGCCTTCACTTTCAGGGAAAAAAAGTTTAAAATACGCTTCAGAGGCTGTGCGATGTGACTGTGGAATAAATTAGAAAGCTCACAATCACCTCTCTGATAAGCAGCAGCTGTGTGGGGGTGACCCTGGGGAATTCAATGGACGCGGGCTTTCATCTTGTAAAAGAAAGCAATCAGTAAGGTTACTACCAGGTATAAAACTGAAAGTGAAGATAACAAAAACATTAAGGCCAGAAGGAAGAACTTTTTCAGGCAAGCGATGTGAAGGTATTTCTTTATTTCCTGGTTTTTTTGGCTTTTTTGTGTGTGGTACTGGGTTTTGAATATAGGACACTCTACCATTTGAACCATACCCCGGTCCTCCATATGAATGTATCTCTTAAAGGATTTGTATGTTAGGGGGTTCAGCTTTTATCTTTATTTTCTCGTTTTGGATACGTTTACAAAATAACTCCTTTGCTTTGATTTGTAAGGAAGTCTTATACAGGAGGTAAGCAAACTAGGGATCGGGCAGGGGAAGGAAAGGACACAGGGGTGAAGAGGACTAAAGTTTGCTGCACATATAAATATGAAGACTGTATAATGACCCAAGCATTATATGCACATATGAAAATAAAAAAAAAGACAAACAAAAACAAAAAACTGTATAATGAAGCTCACCAAACACTGCTTGAAGGAGGGAAGAGGACAGGGACAATGGGAATATAACAGAGGAATGACCTTGTTCAAGGTACATTGTATGCATGTATGAAATTATCACAATGAATCCGCTCACGTTATTAATGTATGATAAATCAAAAAAAAAAAAAAAAAACCAAACTCAGAAACTAAAGGTACATGTATTGAACAAAATTTGAGGCAATGTACCCAATGAGTGGCAAAAACTGGAGAGCTAACTACATTTAGAGATGAAAGAAATCACTTTGGAGACTGGAGATAAGGTTCAAGGCGTAGAGTGCCTGCTTTGCAATCACGAAGCCCTGAGTTCAAACCCCAGCCCCACAAAAAAAAGAAAAAGAGTAAATCTTATTTACTTCACAAATTACTACAAAGATTAAATGAGAAAATAAATGTCAAATTAAAAAAGAAATAGTTTTGAAACAAAGTGGCCAAGAAAGGAAATGCAAGGGTATGGGAGCTGGGCGCTAAAGAAAAAGCATCAGTAAACACTGAGAACAAAACTTGCAGCTAGACTGTGTGCAAGGAATGTGTTTACTAATCTACTTTCTACATGAATGTGGTAGGGTAGTGAGAGGAAGGAAAGGTCAAGTAAAGCTAAACTAGGTCAGGAACATGACAGTAGGGCTGGAACCAGCAGGGCAGGCGGGAAAGCAGTGAGAAGAAAGGATGAAAGGGTGGGGGAGGCCAGGCTGGGAAGGCCTAGAAGGCAAGTTAGAGAACTGGGCTATCCTGCAGAGATGATCTTATCTTGTGCTCATCTTTTGTGGCTCCTGCTATCTTTGGTGACCCTGACAAAAGCTTGTACTTATATTTGACTTTGCATTTCAAGGGGCATGTAGGCCTTAAAATGGGAACCTCAGGTTAAAAACAACAGAACTATCCTTCTTAGGGCCCAGAACTACTGACAACTTCTGCACCTTCCTTAGTAGGTAAAATGGGATGGTGCTCTGTAGACACACCACTGCAGAAATAAGACCAGGTGTGGTGGTTCAGCGCTGAAGCGATCTGGGTCAGAAATTAGGGTGCCTGAAGGAGGAAGGAAGTAAAGGAAGGGCAGACAAAGAGGCATAACAAGGGCAGCTGGGTTTGATCAAGAGGAGACAGAGAAAACCAGGACATGGGGATCTGAAACAGAGACATGGTTGAGTCTAAAATGGTGGCAGAAAGATCAGAATAAAAGAATGACTTTAAACCACAAAACATCTTGCACTGATTAACTTTCCTCAGGTATGGCTTAATTTTAACATCCTAACAGATTACAAACCCCTTCAAAGCCCAGTCTTCTTAGAAATCCCTACTTAGTGGTATACACCTGAAGCTCTCAAACATTTTTGGAATGTACAGAAAAGCAGCTCCCACAGGGCAGAGGCCTCATTTCCTCTCTTCTCCTGAGTTTTTAATGAAATGGACTTTCTGCCCTTTAGGATTATGGTGTGCACTGTTAGGAGTAGGATTATTATGATAACAGTGATATGGTAATCCATCTAACTTCCAGGACACAGGATGGGAAGCCAAACTCACTCCAAGGAGTTTCCATATTAGTGCCATATGTCCCAAGGCTGTGGGAAGGTGAACATCAATAAAACAGCAGGAGCCTAATGTAACAGCTCCATCTATATCTCAAGACACAGAGGAGAAGCAGACAGGGCTGGCAGGGGGACAGAGATAGAGGGATCACCATTCTTAGGAATTCTGGACAAGATTTCCAGCTAATAAACATGATGTGTATAACTAGACTCTCATTACCCATGTTCAGTTCTTCGGATAGGAAAGAGAATTTCAACAATTAAAGTAGCAAGAGATCTGAACAGCATACTGCTGCTGGGTGGTAAAGCACCTAGCAAGTGCAAGACCTTGGGTTCCATCCTCAGTATAAAACAAAACAAAACAACACCTCCCAAAACCAAAAAGGAAATATTCTAAAGCTTTCCTGACCAATCCCCATTGTTCTCTCAGTAGCATATTGGGTTGTGCCTACTCTTCAAATCCAGCCTCCTAAGGAAACCATATGCAAAATCAACACTTTCCCCTCTCAGTAAAGGAAGGGCCAAATTTGGTTTCTGTACTTCTTTATCATCTTGAAATGTAGAAGTTCAAAGTTGAAAAGGTAAATAGAACCCAATCTTCTGATTTTGCTGCAAAGAAAACTGAGGTCCATCTTCAGAGTGTTGTCTGCTCTAATACCAGGTGAAAAAGACAGTAAATCAGTCTGTCTGCAATCTCTGTTTCTCCTGCCTCAGCCCCGGACTTGCATCATTATATTAGATATCTTGATGTGACAGTTTCAAAGGCCTTGAGTTATATGGTACCCCTGTGATTCTGTTCAGTGCAGAAGAGGTATGACACGAAGTTCATCATTAGGGAGCCCCTAGATGTGCCTTCCTACTTCCTGAAATTTTTAAAGAAATGACCTTTAGTACAGATTTGAAACAGCCTGTGTTTATGCTGTGGACCACAGTGCAAACGTCAGAAATGTGTCACCTTAACAGGGACACAGGTGAAAAGAAGGGACAGATGAAACCACTTCAGATCCATATACTCAGTGGTATTTGGTGTCAAAGGGCCCATTTCTCTCACTGGAAGGGAAGGAAATGAAGCTTATAGAAGTAAAAGGCAATGCTGGAACCAGATCCCACAAGACTGACGTTCTCAGCTGTAAACTCCAATCATCAGCCTCACCTAACATTCACCACAGTGTGAAGGGCTGAAGACACAACAGCTTAATAAAAAGGAACATTAAAAAAATGACATGAATCAAATGAAAGCTGTACATAAAGTTTGAGGCCCTGAGTTCAAACCCTAGGACTACCATTAAAAAAATTTACAATAACAGGAAATCAAAACTCCTTTGGGGGTTGGAGGCTTAGCTCAGCGGTTGAGTGCTTCCTTAACATGTGCAGCATTGGGTTCAAACCCCAACACTGCAAAATAGTAACAAGAAAACTTGTTTGGGGGAAAAAAGAAACTCTAAGGGGAAAAAAAAGGCTGACTACTTACCTATGAGATTGGCAAAATCCCTGCTGTGGGAATCAGGCACTATCATATATTGCTGATGGAAATGTAAAAATGGTACAGTCCCAGGATCAAGTAGTAGAGTGCCTGCCTAGCAAGCTCGAAGCCCTCAGTTCAAACACCAGTACCACCACCATCACCACCAAAATCAAACCAAAAAACCCCACCCCAAACAGCCCCTATCAGAGAGACTGTAATGTTTAGGAAAATGGAATATTCCAGTAACCCAGAGATTCCATTTTCAAGGAATCAAAGGTAACTGGCAAAAATAAAAAATGTTATATACATAGAATGGCTTTATCAGTAGCAGCAAAACACTGGGATTAACCTACAACAGTATAACATATTTTGTATGGTTTTCTTCCACGGTTCCTAGGTCAAAACTCCCTCCTCAATGCAGGCCACAGAAAACACTGACTTCTCTGTCTTTCTGTCTTGGAGCAGGCCATAAAGAACTTCTCCGGTCTCCCTTGTCTAATGGTAGTTTACAGACCCTCATCATTCCAGAGGGTCCTGCCCATACTCTAGAGGGAGAAATACTGCAGAGATGCCATAGATTTCCCTTAGCAGACAGGCCCTGGTGGGTTTCCTTGGCCTTAGATATGCGATGAAGCGTCCATAAAAAACAAAAGACAGGGTTTGGGGAGCTCCCAGAGAAGCCCAACATATGGAGGTTCCTGGAAAGTAGTGGGCCCCTTCCACCACTTGTTTCTTCAGTGGTATTGATTATAAAATTATTTATATACCTGGTACTGGTGGCTCACATCTCTAATTCTAGCTTCTTAGGAAGTTGAGATTAGAGGATTGTGGTTCAAGATCAGCTTGAACCCCTCTAAAAATACCAGAGCAAAATGGACTGGAGATGTGGCTCAAGTGGTAGAATGCCTGCTTTGTAAGTGTGAAGTCCTGAGTTCAAACCCCAGTCCCACAAACACAAAAAAATCTTTTATAATAAGCCAGTAAACATGAGCCACTGAAATCCAACATGAAGAGGGGATGTGGGAACCCCGATTTATACTGTGAGTCCAAAGCACAAGTGAGACAACCTGGGGCTACTGGTATTACCAGGAGGAGCAGCCTTGAGGACTGAGTCCTCCTCCTGTAGGATTGAACACTATCTCCAGGTACAGCTTCAGAAATTAACTGGATTAGAGGACACCCCGCTGGTGTCCACTGCAGAAGTGACTGCTTGTGTGTTGTGTGAGAACCCTGCACATCTGGGTCAGAATTGATACCCAAAATGGTGTCAATGTTTGTGAAGATCTGTCTATCAGAAAGCAGCAGTCTCTAGCCTGTTTGGTTTGGTGAATAAAACAAGGTAGAGAATGGCATATATAACACTGTATCTTTTCTGTACCAGTAATGTATATGTGTGATACATATGTATACATAGACATGAATGAATGTATTTGCTTAATCTTTGTAAAATGAAACAATGGAAGGACAGATTTTCTCAAATACAACTTGTTTATAATTGTATATTCAAGACTAGCAAAAAATAAATACAAAACAACTTAATCTAACTGTGCATCAAATTGGGACATAACTATTAGAGGGAATAATCATTTCAAGTGACCTCAGAAAACCACATTTGGGGCTGGGAATGTAGCATCTGCCTAGCACATCAAGGCCTTGGGTTCAACCCCAAGTACTGCGAACAACAATAAAAAACAAAACAAAACAGAAAAAACACCCATGCGCTCACCCACCCACCCACCAACCTATCAACCAACCAAACTAATTCAGCATTTTGTTCTTTTTGTTTTGTTTTGTGTTTTAGACAGGGTTTCACTACGTAGCATACCCTGACCTGTATTTCACAATCCTCCTGCCTCAGCTTCCCAAATGCTGGGATAACAGGCATGTGCCACCATGCCTGGCTAGCGTTTTGTTCTTATTTATTTATTTTGCGGTACTGGGGTTTGAACCCAGGGCCTACACCTTGAACCAGCTCCACCAGCCGTTTTTTGTGAGCAAACTATTTGCCTCTAGCTAGCTTCAAACTGTGATTCCCTGATACCTGCGCCTCCTGAATAGATAGGATTACAGGCATGAGCTACTGGTGCCCAGCTGTATTTTGTTCTTTATTTATCCTAAGAACAAAGTAGCAAAGTAATCTTAAACTGTATTTGATAAACTTAAAGCTATGTTATTATTTTTAAAGTATTTTTATATATTGTAGAATATTAGGAACCAAGGTATCAGTATATGTAAATGATACTCAAGTATGAAAACAAAGAAGGAAAATCCCCACAATGTTAAATTTAATTTAGAATTACTACTATAAACTCATATTTGTTTGTGGGTTTGTTTAGTTTTTTTTTTCCTTTTTGCTTTTTAAAAACACAGTGGTACACACCTGTAATTCCAGCATTTGGGAGGCTGAGGGAGGAAGATCTTAAGTTTGAGGCCAGCTTGGGCCACATAGCAAGACACTATCAGAAAAAATAAAAATAACCAAAAATGATATATACTTCCTGACTCAGTCTACTGAAAGATCTTAGAAACAGTGACACCCCAGTAGCAATAAACACACTTAGCAATCAGATTTTGTTTTTTAAATATTCCCACCGAAAGAAATCATGTTTACTGGGCTTGAGGACTGACTCGTAAGCCAGAGACCCTTTCAATAATGAAGGAATAGCAGAAGCCAAGTTTGGTACAGAAAATATTCAAGAGGGATCTGGACATCTTGATGTTGCCAAAAAGTAAGGAACTAACAAAAACTAACATTAAAAGGACATAGAAAGCTTGGTACGGTGCATCCCTACACTGGGTGGGCAGAGGCAGCAGGGTCATGTATTTAGGGCCAACTTAGGCTATAAAGCAAGACCCAAACAGAAGAAAACAGAAGAAAAAAAAGGTTAGACATAGCTGAAGTGTAGAGCACAGGCTAGCATGTGCAAGGTCCTGGGTTCAATCCCTGAACTAAATAAACAAACAAACCACAAAAAAATTATGTAAAAGAAGAAGAAAATCTTATTGGACACATAGAAGTTACTTGGGCATCAACATCTCACTCTGAAATACAGACCTAATCTGTATTTTGCTTTTCCCTGATGGTCTGTATTTCAAGGCATTAAGCAACCACAGTTGATGAGGGAAAGCTTGTCTTTATAGAACCATCTTAGCAAATCTCATTTGGAAATAATGATAAAACTAGAAAATAAACATTTTTCAACTTCTACTGAAATGATTAACATAGACTACAATCACCAATGGATAAAATTGCCGGCTGAAAGTTTGACAAAGAACAACTGAAAGAAGAAGACTGCCACTGTCTGAACCCAGCAATCATCTTAGCATCACTAGAAACAGGAGTTAGGGATGGCGCATCTCCTGCTGTGAGGCAGCGTTTGACTCACAGACCCACTCAAGATGCACCATTGCCGAGAAAGTGGAAGGTGATTTGCTTAAGCACTGGCACGAACTGCTTTTATGAAACCCAGAGACAGAGGAGTAATTAAATGACAACTTTCTGGACTCCCAGCAGAGAACAAACCTTTCTACTCTACCACTGCTCACCACTCTAATCCACAGAACCAGAGGAAAGCTGCAATTTTAAGATCAACTTTCAAAAGGTACTTGTCTTCTTCCAAAGGCTACCAAAATGTGTGGGTTTTTTGGAAGTACTGGGATTTGAACTCAGGGCCTCATGCTTGCTAGGCTTGCTAGGCAGGCGCTCTACCACTTGAATCACTCTGCCAAGCCCTTGTTTTGTATTGGGCATTTTCGAGATGGGGGTCTCACCAACTACTTGCCGCAGGCTAACTTCGAATCATGATCCTCCTGATCTCTGCCTCCTGAGTAGCTATGATTCCAGGCATGAGCCACCACCGCCTGGCCCAAAATGTTAATTTTTGAATTCACTAGTCACTTCTTACAGTTGCCACATCTTGCAATGCCAAGTATCAACAGTCATTTTTCTGATTTATGTCCGAAAGCCTGCACGCAAGCTTAATTTTGGAAATCAAATTCTTTCTTTGAAAAGGCAAGGTAATAGCCAAGTTTAAAAGAATCTTATGGATAAATCACTAAGATTTAGGTACAGAGAGTGGCCTCAGTTCTAAATACACTTCTGATATTCAGATCTCGTTTGCTTTTAGCAGTGTGCTCTTGCATTATGAGGAAAAGTCAAGGCACTCTAGCTGACTGGCTGACAGTACCGATGTGAGAGGCCAAGGACAGTCACCTCAACCACTGGATGCTGTGCAGCAGGTCTTCATCCTCAAGGCCAGTGATACTTCAATACCAGATGGTATCATTTTTCAGCTGTGGTCCAAACAGAGGGTTGAGTTGGGCCAGAATTGCAATCAGCCAACTAAAAAAATTGATAGAGAGAGAGGAACAAAAAGTGGTGAAATCATGTTGGATGGAGTTTGACCATTTTCATTTAAGAAAGAAAAAGCATTTTAGTAAAACTGAAATCTATTCTGCTTGGAACAAACCTCCAATATACATTGTGCTAATGGCAGTGTGTCTGATAAGAAAACACTTCCCAAGTAAGTTTTGCCTTCGTGTCTCAACAAAGCAGTAAGGCTTCCTCATAGTGTCTCTGTCTTTTCTCTCTTTACCTGATCACTTTGTCACATATTCAAGATTTCCTGAATTCATGGTATTTTTACCACAAAATCTTTTCACCCAATCACAATTCATCACCATCACAACTTCCAGGCTCAGGGAAGTCAGTTTTATCTTATTTATTCTCCAAATATTAAGGCTCACAACCTGTATGACACACCCATTTTTACTGATACAACCAAGGTTTGACTCTAGTTCATCAGTTTCCATTTAGACTGTAATACTCAGTCAGGCTCCCCTTTACTTATTACCATCACCGTTTATCTGTTGCCCCCCATCTGTGGCCCCAGCAGAGCTGATCCAAATGACCACTTCAGCTCTGCTGCTCCCTTCAGAATCTAAATAGCTACGTATACTCTGTATTGCAAACTAATTATGAAGGAAGTACAGTAGGTGTCTGATCTTCAGGGTTAGAAGTGAAAAGAGCACAAAGCTATCTTTCTATTTTTCTTACATCATTCAGAAAGTTTTAAATAAATAGTTGTAAACCTGATAAGTAATTTGTATACCCAATGAAACTTGGCTAAGACCAAAGCAAAAAACAAACAGGAAGACAGTGTATAAACGTCTAGCTACTCAAGCCATTCTGTTGCATTTTCTAGGTTCCAGGCCCCAGGAACACAGTGGAGAAGATGGAATGTCACTATCCTCAGAGAGTTTATATGTCAGATAATAAACGCTATAAAGGAACTAACGCAGGGAAAAAGGATAGAAAATGGTCATGGGGTTATGTGATAGGACAGCCACGGAAGAAGGCAACGCTTCTGTGGCTGTCCTATCACAGAATGAAGTAGAATACATGCTGCCTGTAGTTCCTATTCAAAACACATGAATCCATTAGAACTTCTCTCATTGGGGGAGCATAGTAATAAGGAGCATGACCTTCACCAACTGTTCTGAGGGAATGAATTTTAGTGACATGCTATTCTCTCTGTATGGAGTTGCTTTCTAAGGAAAAGGAGACTGTCCTACAGCAGTGGAACTTACCAAACCCAACTAGGCCACTATGAGGCAGGGGTTGGGTCTCTTCTCCCATTTGCTAAATTTTTGGAATCCTTCCAATAAAAAGATCAAAAGGCCAATTCTACTCACCAATGAAGAGACTGCTGGGAGAACCAGCGTAGAAGATGGTGCCTACAAAAACAAGGCAGGCACCTACCCTCCCCACCCCACAAAAGGTGGTTTTGTGACAGTAAACATGATCCCTGAGAAAATCAGGCCAAAAGAGATACCTCAAGCTGACTCACTTTGTAAACAAAAAGTTAATGTAGATGGATTCTCTGATCCATCCTAAGAACTAGGGTATTCAACATAAACACAATACCAAGACTTGCGGTTAGGTTTACATCCATCTGACATTACACAGAAAGAAAAGGAGGAAGGCACAGGCAGACACACTAAAGAGCTCTGTGGACGCAGTCAACACTCAGGGTGCAGAGCTAAGAGTCATGGAAAATTCCACCCAAACCCAGGAACTCCCCAATCCCAGCAGCCAATACAAGCTGTTTGCAAAAATAGTTGCTTGTATTTCATAAGAGACTAAGAAAACTGGCCAGTGCTTAGAAACACCAAATAGAAAATATGTTAGAACCTCATTGCTTTTGTCACAGCATGGAATAAAAAGACCATTTCCCAGCACTTGGGGGGCAGTGTTGTGCAGAAATGGATGGGATAAGTCATCCAGGGAGCTTTCGGAATACTTTAATATTGTAGTTTACATGTAACATATCTTTTCATTATCACCCTATGCAATTAAAGAAACTGAGGCAGAGAGGCTAAGTAATTTGCCTATGATCATAATACTAACTAGGTAATTGCAGGTCCTAGGCCAGAAACCAGGTGGATTAATGGTCCCATAAAAAAACTGACCTTTTGAAATATCTTAATTGTGACCATTTCAAAAGACATGAATTTAGCTAAATTCAAACTGGGAATTATAGAAAAAAGAATCTACCTGCTGAATACTGATTAAGTCCATGACAAGCCTGTGGTACCTGCAGTAAAAATAAAGATCCAGAAGCAAGATGAAGATCACTTTGCTGCTCAAGTCGGTATTTGGAGACTTTCTGAATTTACTTTTACTTTTTTTTTTTTTTTTTTTGAGACAGGGTCTCGTCACGCTGCCCAGGTTACTCTGGACTCCTGAGTCCACATGATCCTTCTGCTTCAGGCTACTAAATATAGATAGGATTTTTAATGTTTCAAATCAAGCAAAAAAAAAAAAAAAAACCCCAAACAAAACAAAGACCAACGAACCGCAGTTTAAGAAAATTCCTTGGGAAACAGTCCAGGCCAGCTCATTTGAAATTTCAGAGGAATTTTCCTTCTCTAACCAGCTGAGCTCTCTGCCCACCCTTCTGACTACCTCCTGACTTAAAATTTCCCTTTAAAGCTGATACAGATGAAGAGCACTGGAAGGAGGAAAAAAAAAATCACTATGAATTAATGGAAGTGGGTGGAGGAAAAGACCATATTCCAATGACTCTATGAGTTCATGTGTACAAGAAAAGGAACTAAATGTACCCTCCATGTTTGCCTAAACTGTTCCACATGTCTTTACAACCCAAAGGCCAGTCTCATAAGCAGCCATCTGAGAGATTTCAAGCTACACAGACAGCTTTGGTGCAGCAGCACAGTTCAGAGACCTGCAGAGCTGGAATGGATCAGGGCTCAAGTCAACATTCTGCATTTTAAAGATGAGGAAACTGGGGCCAGGAGCTAGCTCATGCCTGTCAATTCTGGCCACTCAAGAGGTAGAGGATTGTGGCTCAAGGCCAGCTTGGGCAAAAATGTTAGTAAGATCCTGATTTCAACCAACCAGGTGGGCATGGAGGCATGCACCTGTGGTCCCAGCTACTTGGGAGGACTTAGGTAGGAGGACCGTGGACTGAGGCATGAGACCCTACCTGAAATATAACTAAAAAGAAAAAAAGATCAGGAAACCAAGTTCCAGTGAGCTTAATACCCCATGGTAAATCAGTGATAGGATGAGGAAGGGGGAGTCTAGGACTCCCAACTCCCAGTATACCAGGCTGCTTCTTCTTTTATTCCACAGTTATTTACCAGGGCTGTCTTCCTTGCTGGGCTCTGAGGATGTAGAGTCCTTGTAGGAGAGCCAACCCCAAGGGACACAGGAGCTCTAAGAGACAAACCAAGATGGCAGAAGAGTGTGCTTTGGTAGAAATATGCACAGATGCTTTATCCTACTAACACTCGCTGGCCAAGCACAGAACACACCCTCAACACAGAAAAGACCCTACCTGGCTCACTCAAATTTTGCTTTGTTCTTTTGTTCCACATTGACACTGAGTTCAAACCCCGGTACTGCCAATAAATAAATAAATACAGCTAATACTCTTTTGTTCCACATTGAGAAGTAAGTACAGGGAACAAAGGCCTGGGTTACTTCCCAGTGACACACGAATCGAACTGTCTTCAGCTTCCTTGTTGGAAGAAAGCCCAGCTAGGACAACTCTTCTGAGCTACTGTCCAGCCAGCCAGGGCCATGGTAAGAATGACCTCTGCCGGTGGGTTTCTTATGAGACAGCAAAAAGGCAGGTAAGTGACTTGCTTGGCTCCACAAAGATGACCTAGTCAAACCCTTTCATCCAATCAACACCAATACTTTCAAGAGCAGCAACAATACTAGAAAATATAGGATTCAGTGTTAGAGTTGGATTTTAATTCTAGTTACACCAAGTATTAGTGGACTGGCTCCAGACAAGTAACATTATAACCCCAAGCCTGTTTCCCCTACTTGTAAAATGCAGATGACAATCCTTGCCTCAAGGTGTTAAGAGTGAAAGAGATAATAAGTGCTCTGTGCCGGCAGACAAGTAGATGGTCAGCAAACACTAGTTATTCCCTTTATCAGGGAGACAGCTAAAAACATATTCAACCCTTGGAATGAGTTATAAGGTATTTATTTAACAAAGGAGTTTTTCACATAGTACTGAGTCATTATGTCTCTACCTTCCTCCCACCCTCACCTGTGGCAGGCGGCTTTCTAAGATACTCCAAGTTCCCACCCCCTAGTGTACATATCATTCCCTATAAACCTTGCAGCAATGAATGTTGACAGCACAGTCACTCCTATGACTGGACTGTATTGTGGCATACAGCAGGCTTAAAGAAAGGGAGACATCCTAATTGGGCCTGATCTAATCAGGTAAGCTTTTTTTTTTTTTTGTAGTAATGGGGCTTGAACTCAGGGCCTTCACCTTGAGCCACTCTGCCAGCCCTTTTTGTGATAGGTATTTGAGATAGGGTCTCATGAACTATATGGCTGAACTGGCTTTGAACCTCGATCCTCCTGATCTCTGCCTTCTGAGTAGCAAGGACCAGTGCCAGCCTAGCTAAGCTCTTAAAAGGGACAGAGCTCCACCTGCTAGACACATGTGAGTTGTGCAGCCATTAGGAAATTTCCTGCTGGTCAACTCCAAATGCACACTTCAATGTGTTGGGATAAACAGCTGCATTCCCTTATTCTCTTAAAGTGAGCACAATGTTCTGCTTTGTCGGTAGCCAGAGCTGGAAGGACATTGCAGGTGTGGGCTGGAGGTCGTGGGTGGGTGTGAGAACATTGGGCAAAGCCTACTAGACAATGGTATCTCTTTGATATGGTGGCCCTGGCCTGACAATGACTTTTCTGTAGCTCTTCTGACATGGAATATGAGCTTTGAAGTTCCTGCTTGCACCAGCACAGGGATTCTCATGACACAGCTATGCCACAGATCACTT